GCATTCCAAGAAGCTGAATGAGAACTCCACAGTGCATCTACCCACCAAGTGTGTTTTGTAGCTTTTGCTTCTTCACTTAAATTAGGAGGAAAAAAACCCTCAAAAAAATAGCATCACGCATTACACAATAAAAAATCTTGAAGGGACGTGAGGAAGACTGTTGTTAAGCGTATTTGACTTTGATCATCGTTAGAGGGAGATAAAAAAGAAAATAAGATTACCTTGGGAAAAAATACATACAAAACCACTCAGATTGTAAAGCCTGTGATAAAACACTACTCTTGGCAAGTTACATTGGGGGGAAAGAAAAAAAAGCAGCTCCTCTGTCCATAATGTGTATTTTTTTTAACATTTACAAATTATTTTTGACTTAGCCACGCAGGGAGCCTACTTTCAACCCTCAATTTGAAAATCATGGAGGCTTTATAAAGTCTTCCACCTGCATCTCTTTTTTGCATCACAGTTCTTTATCCTCTAAAGGATGAAAACCCTGGCGTATAAAAACTTTGTTAAGCTGTCACTATCAATAGAGTAAAAAAAATAATGGTTGACAAAGAAGAAACAAATTGCATCTTCGAATAAGTTTCCTTCATGCTCTTGTTAAAAGCTATAACCTCTGATGTTAACTAAATTTAACCTATTCTGACCCTTGCGGTGGCCCTTAACCTTTTCTTTATTCCGCTTCCTGTGGTTGCTGAAGAAAACTGGCCCAGTCATTGGAAAAGCACTCTCTGTTGCACACAAAGCCCCAGCCTTGCTGCTAGTCTGTCAGGAGGGATAGAATAGACGGGGAGGTCAGCACCTGTGCTGAGAAGCAGGTGACAGGGAACTGCTTGGACCATTCTAGGGCAAGTTGTAATAGTTTCTACCCTTTAAATATCGCACTGTAGTTTCGGGTATTCAAGGCAACGAAGTTCACGTTTTCTTTGTGAATGCAGACTTTAAACAAATTAATCTATTGCTGTTCAACTGACTGTAAAATTAGTAAAAAAAAAAAAAAAAAAAAAAAAAAAAAGAGAGAGCTTTCACTTCCACTTTAATAAGGTCACGGATGTGTCCTAGGCTGCCAACAAAAGCAGCTTTTAAAATCTTCGCAGCTGAACCCAGCAACTCGCAAAGGCTGCAGAACAATGCCTTAGATGTACAGTGGAAACTCCTCTCCCTACAGTCAAGATGTAAAACTAGACAGTTAAAAAACTTTCTACATTGGGAAGTTTTAACTTTAATTGTGTCTCTCCCCAGGGACCCATGGGCTTGCTTTCTGATTATATCCGATTATATTTGATGATATATAAATTCAGTCAGCCTTGCTTTTCAGGGAGCAAAATCAGTTCTTTGCCTGGATTCAGTAAATCAGCCCAAGCAATTTAATGGCAGAGCATGCATCTTCAAAACATTTAATTCCTACAGCAGGGGCTGATCTCAGAAACCAAACAAAACTAGCTGTTTCAACTGTATTTGTATATTCTGTGCAGGGCATCAGTTAGCAGAGACTGTTTACCACTCAACAGAATTTTTGGGTTTACTTTAATTTTTGCTGTCTCTTGCTAGAATAAAAACAGAGAAGAATATGTAGGAGGTAACTTTCAAAAGCTGGGGGTGGAAAAGGAGTAAATGAGCTACTGCAGAATCCAGGAATCTGGACCTACCACATACCCAGAATTTCTGTGTCCTTTAAATACATGTTTACTCTGACGTGTTCTCTGCCATATGGCAATGCTCAGCTCAACACAAGGGAGTTTGTCATCTGAATTATGTGCAAAAATCTTTTGTAAACACTAACAGGAAAAGGAATACTAAGGACTGCATAGGGCAGGCTATGGCCTTTCTCTGAACCAGAGGGCTGCAGAACCACACAGCCATGGTTTTAACTAGCACGAAGGCGAGCCATGCCAGCTGCTGCTAAAGAGCAGGGGCAGGGAGGAGAAAGAGGCACTCTTCAAGTCTTTCCCAAAGCTTCCCACCCTGTGCACGGGGTAAGTGGCCCTCCATCTGCTCAGTATTTTTGCAAAGACAAGTGTGCAGGAGACTAACCCCATATTTAGTAATAAGGGTGAAAAAAATCTGCTGTCCCACCCACTGCTACTGGTCCATGACCAAGAGCCCCAGGCACTGCATAAACCCAACAATATCACTAATAAATTCCTGATGATCTTGTTTGGTACTTGAAATATTTCATACCAGATATTGAGAACTACAGTCCAGTTTGGAAAGTAGCAAGATGTTCACTGTAGACTAAAGTAAGATCTGTCCTCCACCCAGAGCCAGAAGGTATGAGCTCCTTGCAGGTGTAAGGCACTTGAGCAGCTTGCTTCCTCCTCCCATAAAATGAATAACGGCGTTTGAATGAAAGTAAACTAGAGCCTTGGGTCTCCAGGTGAGTACTCTGTCATCCAGTTAAGGGCATTCTCCCTATCTGTTGGGCATTACAAGCAGCTCTCTGTATCCAGAACAAATAGCTTCAGGGGCAGATTGACCCTGAAACACAGAAGGACTGGAACCAGTTTCCAATATCCTCAGGGAACAATCAAACTGTCCCCCACAGAATGGTTGTGAATGTGGAGGAAGCTTCCCAGTAGCATCTCGAGTCTGACATTAATTAATAACATGAATAATATCCATACTGGCAGATCACTACGCTGTTCATGTATGAGGCAAGAAATCTCTCCATCCACCATCCCTTCTCCTTCTCATATATTTGCATTTTAAATTCTCTGGGGCATGAATTATCTATGGGTTGGCACCAGGTCTGGCAGAACAGGCCTTGATTTGGCTCAAAAAATAATAAAGTGAAAACAACAACTTTACTAACCTGCTTGGGAAACTAAATGTCAAATGGAAAAAAAAGACAGATGCAAATTTAGGAATTAAAAAACAAATAAACAACTGAGAATATTGTCAGGGGTAGGCAGAGGGTGATGTGCATTAGGCAAAATAGAAGCGAGAAAGTTATTATTAACGGCATTTATTATGATAGTGTCTTTCAAATAACTAAGAGTGCAGTCCCACTGTGACAGGGACATATGAAAACAACGGCACCTGGACAATTAAAGTGTAAACGGACATGAGACAAAGGACAAGGAGAAAGAGTACAATGAATTCCCAGAAAGATCAAGTTAATTGAGGACAAACAGCATGAGAAGGCTGCACTATTTCTTGGCACACTAAATTTAATTAGAAAGGCATGAAATAAAACAAACATCAGGTTTAAACTTAACAGAATTAAATAAAGGGAAGAGAGAAGGAATGCAAGTTGCATGCTTCAGAGTACCTCGCTTTCATGCAGGTAGTTTTTATCACAGGGAAGAGGATTATTAGCTTTATTGCTCTTACTAACATTGCTGAAAATTATCTGTCTTATGGGGATGGTTCTCAGAGAGGCAATAGTAGCTAACTGCAAGCTGGGCTGTTGACAAGCTCTTCTCTAATGCATATTGCAGAGCTGAAGATGAAAAAAAAAACCCACCTCTCTCCAGGCTTCAGCTTTGCCAAAACTTCCCTTCACGGTTATTCAAATTCCACACTTTATTTCCAGACCATGAAAAGAGCAGTAAAAAACATTTTTGTCTTGCCTTTTCTTATTGTGGAATATTTCACTCTCCGCAACTGGATACTGTAGAATTTCAATAATTTATATTTCAAGAGCATCAAACTGAGATCCAGTTTTCTTAAGGCACTCTACTAATATCCAGCGATGGCAATCCCTGTTCCCAAAGAGCTTACAACTGTAAAGGCATAAAGCCTGAGCGAAATCAAGAAATTAACAAAAGAGCAGGATGGAAAAAACAGGCATTATTTGCACAGAATAGGTGAAGCTATAGTTGTGAGCCAGACTGTTAACACAACTCGCCATCTACTTGGCTAATTCTGTTAATGGCGTTTTTCCGTATTCATTACTTCAGGTGAGGAGTTTTAATGAGAATAAGGTGATATGAATAAATTTCAGATTGTGAACTGATTTAGTAAAGTTTCCTGGGTTTGCACACGATTACCATATGATGTCTCCTGTGATGATGAAGAGCACAAGGCAGTAACGGACATTTTTGCATGTGTGTACCAAAATGACTGTACAACATGTGAAATTAAACCTTTCTAAACCCATAGCTAAGAACAGAAAGCTTTCACACCAAAAAGATGAAGCTCAGATTTTCACTGCATTTCTTCTTCCTGAAAGAGGGGTCACTTAGCTGTGACCCAAAGCAAATAACCTAAAAAGTCCTGATTTTTTTAAGCAGGAAGGACAGTAGACAAGAGCTGCCTCCCAGCTGCTTCCTATGGCTTCACTTCCCACCACGTTCTGATCACAAGCACACTTTCAGCCCAAGCGCTGTTCGCGGCTCCAGCCTGGCTGGCCAAACAGCATCCCACAACAGACACAAACACCTCAGCTCCTCAAAAACCGTCCTCTGCAGGCACGCTGCCCCACCAGAACAATGGAACAGCAGATTCTCACGCTGTTCAGCGCTTTACTCATTTAGTGTATTTCTTACAGCTAGGAAGCTAGGGTTTGTATGTGAATTTCAGCTTTCCTTTGTTTTCTGTCTCCAGATTGGAAGAGGGAGCCTGCAAACCGGAGGCAGGGCAGCCTACCAAAGAAGGTAACAAACCCAAATACCCGACAAGCTTTCGGGCTGACTCCCGCGATTCCACAAACGCACACGCTACTGACCCCTGCAGACTCATCTCTACCACGCACCGCCCGCACCCTGCACCGCACGGCGAGCTGTGATAGTATTTTA